TTTTATTATTGTCATTAGTGATTATCTCAATTTCGGCTAAAAGAATTGACAAAATCCTACACACTGTGCCTTTAATTTGATCAGAAACACGTGACTGAAAGAAAACAACAAGTTCCAGGACATTGTAAGTTTTTTATTTCATCATGTGATGTGAAAAAGCTGGATTTTAGGTATCCTCTGCAATTTTATTGTTGGGTTTAATAGTATGGACGTGTTGTAACTGAATAGGTTTTGGATATTTATTGTCAGAGATACATGTTGAATGACACCCAACGTTGATTGATTAACTAATCCCAGACTTTAAAATGAATAAAACAAAGAATAAAGACAGTTAAAACGATGAGATCAATAACACCAATAAAACAACAGTAAAATAAACTAGAATCCAGCAGCTGATGAAGGCCTGCCACAAACTGAGAATATTTACTGACATGAAAATAAATCCCATGTTTCCGTCCTCCTGCAGGCCGGCTTTGCTGCAGAAGGAGCAGAAACTGGAACACAGTTTCCTGAAGTCAACCTGCAAGAAAAAGTAGGTTAATCCTGTTCCTGCAGTTATTCCTGGTGATTAATGAGTTACATTTTGATTCTTTTGAAGAACGGTTCAGGTTTTGAAACACTTTTTATCAACTCTTAACGAAGAACATCTTGTTCTCTTGCTGTTTTGGGACCTTTAGGACTGGACGGACTATGATGAGAAAGCCAAAGAGTCGGTGGGAATCTACGAGGTCACTCACAGGTTCATCAAGTGCTGACGAGCCAAACGTCCTGTTACCCAGCATGCTTTGCACCCAGAGATGGAGTGACTTGTTTCACGCCGAACAGTGAAAGGTTCTGGTTTTACAGCGGTGTGCTTGTTCAAACGTCTTGGATTGATCAGCGGGCTCACAGTTCAGACTTTCTTTGGTTTTTGTCAGTGTTTCAATAAAGTCAACGTTTTGACTTTAGCCTCCTCGCTTTTTATTTTTCTCCATCAACTTCAAATAAAAATATTTACATAATTACTTTTGAAAGGACTGTGGAAAAGTGTCACAATGAAACAATGTTTAAAAGCTTTTCAGCTACAGAGGAAAGATGTTGAATGAAGATTTTAAGATGATTTTCTTTGCTTTTTGTAGTAAATAAAGCAAAACAAAACAAATGCGTATAAGCTGAGCATTGTTTTGAACATTGGGCAGAATCAAGGCACAGACATTTTGTCCACACTTAAAGAAAAAAAATCACATTTTTCCTAATCTGCACAGCACACCATAATTGAAAACACATGGTATAAAATAGTAAATTGTTCAGTTTTAACGTGTTCCCAGTTAGGTTCAGATGTATGAAGGATGAATAACTATTTAAGAAAAGCATGCTAAAAAGCTACGTGTGTAAGTTTTATGTCTTTTATGAGCCACTTCTGGAGAGGGAAATTTATTCCAGCAGCTTTGTTTTTATTTCCCGTGTGGTTTTACTTCAGAGTCATGCATCTGCTCAGATACAGACGATCTTTGTCGCTGGGCTGTGCGCGGTCATGTCCATGTCTAAAGTGACACATCTGCTTACGATAGACGATCTTCGTTAGTGAACTTTGTGCGGTCATGTCTTTTAAAGTGACACATCTGCGTCTTTATAGACGATCTTTACAAGTGGTCCGTGCTGCTTTTTGCGGTGACAGTCCTGCACGCGTACTGACAGCAGCAACGATGGCTCCTCAGCAGAAGAACAGAGTGTTTGTCATCGGGGTGGGCATGACGAAGGTAAATACTCATGTCTGAAGTATTTACTCCTTTAGCTCCGCAGGTTCTTCTGGTCCGTCGTTAAAGTTTTGTTTGTAGCATCGTTAGCTAGCCTCGCTTTGCGGCTCGAGACAGTTTACCTGAGCTGAAAAATCATCCTCAGCCTGTTTCACATCTTTAACATCAGTTTTTTTAAGTATGCCATTTGAAACTGCGAGTTTTAGAGCTGTGCAGCAACAATGTTAACACTCAGATAAAGTTGATCCTCTGTGGCAACATTTGAAGATCAGAGTTCATATCTGTGCCAAACCAAAGGTCTGATTGCACAGTGATAGGGTTGCCAGATGAGACATTGCTGAAGAGCTGACAATGATTCTGTTTATTCATGAAGTACAAAGTGACAATAAGTCATTTTTGCTCATCATGCCCTGAGGTGACTTTGACCCACTGGAAAAGAAGACCCCGGTGGTCAGAGGTGGATTCAGAGATATTTTTCTGCAGGTGCTGACTAAGCATTTTACTGAGGGTACTTTAAAGAGTAACTAACCCCAAAATTAACTTTTTTTAGCTGATAAACTGTCTAGAATGTGTCTGAAATGTTATATAGTACTGTTTCTGTGCTAATTTTGATGTTTTTGTGCGTATTTGTTCAAATCTGTAATATTTGTTTAAAGACGTCTTTTTGCTGCTCATATGGGTAGAGCAGTGGCACTGCAGGCTAATTTACATATTGGTTAACGGCTCTCCGCTGTGACGTGGTTCTGCACAGTTTCGTCACAGCGGCTGTGTTCTGGTATAAAAGCCTCTCTCTAAGACACGCCCCTGCAGCAGTCAGAGGGTGGAGCTGTTAGCAAGCTTAGCATGATCGTCTGTTGACCTTCAGCCTCGGGTGGGGAGAGCTGACTGCTGCGCTGCCCTCTCTCTACACACACACACACACACACACACACACACACACACACACACACACACACACACACACAAACACACAAACACAAACACCAGCACTACATCCTGCACAGCGGGAGGGGAAAGAAAGGCAGCGGGCAGCTTCAGCTCAAACCCACACGTCAACTTGTACAGATTATCTGTAAGTTATAAGGATTTTACATCACTTTGCAGGTATACAGACATGTAGAGCAATCTCAC